ATTTTTTCTTCTTATTGCTGGAGAGATCTCTTCTGTAGTCTTTATTAACATTTCTTTCGAGCCGCTTTTGAACAAAAAAAAAAAAACAAAAAAAAAAAAAAACTCCAGGTCTCCTACCCCATCGAATTCCACCTCTAAAATACGACCCACCTCCCATCATACATTTCCTTCTTCTGAGTCCACATCTTACAACACCCCGAAGAAAATGTTCAGCACCGACCGCAGAGCAGCTTCGGTTTCTCACGGATCTTCAGCCATACGAGTAAAGATTCAGCAGCATGGAGCGACCTCAGTCTGACCGGATATTTTTTAGCTCCTGCGGTTTCTTAGGATCTCGGTCTTCGCGTCGCCGTAGCTAGGGATTCCTTTCGTCGCTGGGAATGAGGACCGATGTCGTGGTTCAGAGAGGGAGAGGGAGAGAAGGAGGGAGGGAGGAGGAAGGAGAGGAGGAGGAGGGAAGGAGGGGAGGAGGGAGAGGGAGGGAGAGGAAGGAAGGGGCGAGAGGGAAGGGAGGGGAGGGAGGAGGAGGAGGAGAGAGAGAGATGAGGTGGCGGTTGAGAATGTATAAGCGTTTGAATGTGAGTGAGCTGTGTGTGTGTGAAATTCTGTCAACGTGTTATGTATTATCTATGATCTTAATGTATGGACGCCGTGCTCATATCCGAAGCCAAATATGCCTTAGAGTATTTCACTAAACTGGCAAATAAAGAATTTGCGAACATTTTTTTTCTTTTTTTTTTTTTCTTTTTTTCTTAGCCACGCAACGCATATACTTCAAAAAAAGAGTGTTGTCAGTGTTATATAAGCGGATGTCGAAAGAGGTCAAGTATATCTCTAGAAAGCCAAGTTCGCTCTTTATCCTAGCATACATTATTATTATTATTACTATCATTATCTCATTATTACTATTATTGTTATTATTTTATTTCATTTATCTATCTTTTTGTACTTTTCTGAACAGCGATGAGCCATTGAGTTTCGTAACTGAACACCAACTAATGAAGTGGAGTTTGGTCAGATCTAATAATCACTTGATACCTGACATAAACATACATCTTGTCTATATACACAAACCACACACACACATAAATACATACACACACACACACACACATACACACACACACACACACACAACACACACACACACAACATATATTATATATATATATATATATATATATATATATATATATATATATATATTATATATATATATATATATTTATAATATATGAGAGGCTAGAAAGAGAGTGTTTAAGAGATGGAGAATGGAGATGAGATGGAGATGGAGATGGAGATGGAGATGGAGATGGAGATGGAGATGGAGATGGAGATGGAGATGAGATGGAGATGGAGATGAGATTGGAGATTGGAGAAAAGAGATGAGAAAGAGATAGAGATAGAGAGAGAGAAGAACTTGTATGTTCTCTCTGTCCCCTCTCTCTTCCCTTTCATCGCCCCTTACCAATCTCCTCCCCCTCCCACATTCCCCTCCCCCCTGCCTTCCCTTACCCTCCCCCGTCCCCTTCTCCTCCCTTCCCAAGCCCTCATTCCCTGTGACGATGTGATTTTTGTGAAGAATTTGTACATGTATCACATGAGGTTTATCGGTTAATAATTGTTGTTATTGTATTTTGTCCTTTTTTGAGCTTTGGCGTAGCTAGGACTTGTTCGAAAATATTGTCTAGTTTTATTACTGTCATCTTGATTTTATCTTTCCTATGATCTATTCCGTAGTTTCCTGTTTTCTTTCACTTTCTCTCACTCTTTTTTTGCATAAGCTTACTGGAACTTCTCCTCCTTTCGTTTCTACCGCCTATTTTCACTACAGATTCCTTTATTATCCCACTGAACTAAATGTTGGTTTGGATATTTTCAAGATCTTCCCTCTCGAGAACGGAGCATCTGTTCTGAAAATGGAAACTAAATTCTGTTGTTCTCGTCTTGGAATTAGCTAGGTTTAGGGGACGGTTTTTCATGTACTTTTATTTCTTCTTTTCGGGTGTAATTCAATTAATAATAATTCTGCAGTCATTACAAACAATTGCATTAATTGATAACGTCCACGTCTTTGTTAATTAACGTCGCGTCTGTTTGTAATTGTGAAGTCAATTTAAATTCTAATAATAGACTTCCACGTCGATGTCCTCAGTCTCTCCTCGATATATTGTGGGACTGAGCTTCATGAAATTGCTTTACGTTTGGCTTCTCTTATTTGTTTCTTTTCCGTGTTTCTGATTCCTTTTCCGTGTTTTTCCATCATATGTTTTTCTTTACAATCTATTTTCCATAAGCTTCCATTATGGCTATTGGTACATCATAAAATATCTCTCCATCAGGACTCTGGTTAATTTTTAAGGTGTATTTTTCGTTCAATCTTCTATTTCGTCGAAGATATTCGTGAGCGTTATTATTATTATTATCATTATTATCTTAAGTTGTAGAAGATAAGTTTGTCGTTCATTTTTTCTTCTTATGCTGGGGAGATACTCTTCTGTTCAGACTTTATAACATCCTTTTCGAGCCTCTTGTGAACAAAAGAAAAAAAAAAATTACCCCCAGGTCTGCCACCCATCAAATACAACCCACCTCCCATCATACAACATTTCCTCTTCTGAGTCCACATTCCTACAAACACCCCGAAGAAAATGTTAAGCACCGACCGCAGAGCAGCTTCGGTTCTCACGGACCTTCAGCCTTATGAGTAAAGATTCAGCAGCATGGAGGAGCGGCCTCAGTCTGACCGGATATCTTTAGCTCCTTCGGTTCTTAGGATCTCGGTCGTCGCCGTAACTGGGGATTCCTTCGTCGCTGGGGAATGAGGACCGATGTCGTGGTTCAGAGAGAGAGAGGGAGGAGAGGAGGGAAGGAGAGAGGAGGAGGGGGAAGGGAAGAAGGGAGAAGGAGAGAGGGAGAGGGAGAGGGAGAAGGAAGGAGGGAAGGAAGGGAGGGAAGGAAGGAAGGAGGGAGAAGAAGGGAGAAGGGAGAGAGAGAGAGAGGTGGTGTGAGAGATGTGAGTTTAAATGTGAGTGTGTGTGAAATTCTGTCAACGTATATGTATATCTATGATCTTAAGGTATGGACGCCGTGCTCATATCCGAAGCCAAATATGCCTTAGAGTATTGCACTAAACTGGCAAATAAAGATTTTGCGAACATTTTTTCTTTTTTTTTTTTCTTTTTTTTTCTTAGCCACGCAACGCATATACTTCAACAAAAAGTGTTTTATATATAAGCGGATGTCGAAAGAGGTAAAGAATATCTCTAGAAAGCCAAGTTTGCTTTTAATCTTAGCATACATATTATTATCATTATTACTATTATCATCATCATTATTATTACTATTATTTTTTTATTTTCATTTATCTATCTCTTTTATGGCTTTTAATACTATTATTTTTATTTTCATTTATCTATTTTATGGCTTTTCTGAACAGCGATGAGCCATTGAGTTTCGTAACTGAACACCAACTAATGAAGTGGAGTTTGGTCAAATCTAATAATCACTTGACACCTAACACATATAACATACATCTATCTGTCTATATTCACATAACACACACACACATAAATACATACATACATACATACATATACACACACACGCATATATATTAGAGAATGGAGATGGAGATGGAGAGATGGAGATGGAGATGGAGATGGAGATGGTGATGGAGATGGAGATGGAGATGGAGATGGAGATGGAGATGGAGATGGAGATGGAGATGGAGATGGAGATGGAGATGGAGATGGAAGATGGAGATGGAGATGGAGATGGAGATGGAGATGGAGATGGAGATGGAGATGGAGATGAGATGGAGATGGAGAAAGAGACAGAGATATAGAAAGAGAGAAGAGAGAGCGTGTATGTTCTCTTCGTCCCTCTCTCTCCCTTTCATTGCCACTTACCAATCCCCTCCCCCCCCACACTCCCTCCCACCCCCTGCGAGCTCCCGTGCCCTCCACCCGTGTCCTCCCCCCATGCCCCTCCACCAATACCCTCCACCCATGCCCTCCCCCTCCCGTACCCTCCACCGCCGTCCCGGATCGCCACCACCGCAGGACCTTCCCCCCCACCCCCACCCTCTCCCCCACCCCACCCCATCTCCCCAGACAGCCAAGGCCTTTGACGTCTCTCCCGGACCTCGAAACACACAACAACCTCTTCGGGAAGGGACTCGCGACCTCCTCAAGAGAAGCAGCGGCGTGTGGGGGACTCCTGGACTCCTGGACTCCTGGACTCCTGGAAGAGGCGGGGGTCGAGGTCCGCTTCGGGATGGTGGGGGTGGTAGTGATGATTGTTGATGATTGTTGATGAAGATGATGATAATTATTGTTGTTTTGTTGTTGTTGTTGTTGTTTTGTTGTTGATGATTGATAATTGTTGATGATTGATGATGATGATGATGACGATGAGGATGATGATGATGACGAGGATGATGATGATGATGACGACGACGATGGTAATGACGATGAGACGAGGATCATGATGACGATGATGATGACGACGGTGGTTCCTGCTGTTGCTTCCATCGCCGCGTCGGGTCGTCGGAGTATCTTTCTTTCTTGTCTTTCTTTTCTTTTTCTTTTTCTTTCCTTCTTTCTTTCCTTCCTCCCTCCCTTCCTTCCCATCCTCCTCCCTCCACCTTTCCTTCGCCATATGAATTCCTCCTCCTCCCCTCCTCTTCCTCTTCCTCCTCCCACCTCCTCCTCCTCCTTCTCCTCCCCCCCTCCTCTCCTCTCTCCTCCACCTCCTCCTTCTCCTCCCCCTCCTCTTCTTCCTCCTCCCCCCCTCCTCCCTCCCCCCTCCCCCTCCTCCTCCTCCTCCTCCTCCCTCCTCCCCCCCTCCACCTCCTCTCCTCCTCTCCTCCTCCCCCTCCTCCTCCTCCTTCCCTCCCTCCCCCCCTCCCCCTCCCCTCCTCCTCCTCCTCCTCCTCCTCCTCCTCCTCCCTCCCCCCCCTCCACCTCCTTTTCTCTCCTCCTCCTCCTCCTCCCTACTTCGTGTATGTGGTGACATGTTATGTGGATGCTGATGTGGAATGCTGATTGGATGCTGTATGTGAGTGCTGATGAGTGGTATGCTGACGTGGATGCTGATGTGGATTGCTGACGTGGATGCTGAATGTGGATGCTGACGTGGATGCTGACGTGGATGCTGAACTGGAATGCTGATGTGGATGCTGACGTGGATGCTGATGTGGATGCTGACGTGGATGCCGTGATGCTGATGTGGATGCTGACGGTGGATGCTGATGTGGATGCCTGACGTGGATGCTGACGTGGATGCTGACTGACTGTGGATGCTGATGTGGATGCTGACGTGGATGCTGATGTGGATGCTGACGTGGATGCTGCTGGATGCTGATGTGATGCTGACGTGGAGTGGATGCTGATGTGGAATGCTGGTGATGCGTGGATGCTGACGTGGATGCTTGATGGACGTGGATGCTGATGTGGATGCTGAGTGGATGCTGATGGATGCTGGATGCTGGGTGGATGCTGATGTGGATGCTGACTGGATGCTGATGTGGATGCTGACGTGGATGCGATGTGGAATGCTGAGTGGATGCTGAAGTGGATGCTGTGGATTGCTGGACGTGGATGCTGAACGTGGATGCCGTGGATGCTGGTGGATGCTGACGTGGAAATGCTGACGTGGATGCTGACGTGGATGCTGATGTGGATGCTGACGTGGATGCCTGACGTGGATGCTGATGTGGATGCTGACGTGGATGGTGGACGTGGATGCTGACGTGGATGCTGACGTGGAATGCTGATGTGGATGCTGACGTGGATGCTGATGTGGATGCTGACGTGGATGCTGATGTGGAGATTGTGGATGCTGACAGTGGATGCTGAATGTGGATGCTGACGTGGATGCCTGGAATGAATGTGGATGCCTGACGTGGATGCTGATGGGTGGATGCTGTGGAACTGGTGGTGGACGTGATGCTGATGGTGGATGCTGACGTGGATGCTGATGTGGAGCTGACGTGGATGCTGATGTGGCTTGGATGCTGACGTGGATGCTGATGTGGAATGCCTGACGTGTGGATGCTGATGTGGATGCTGACGTGGATGCTGACGTGGATGCTGATGTGGATGCTGAGTGGATGCTGACGTGATGCTGATGTGGATGCTGAACGTGGATGCTGACGTGGATGCTGACGTGGGATGCTGGACGTGGATGCGATGTGGATGCTGACGTGGATCTGATGTGGATGCTGACGTGGAGATGCTGATGTGGATGCTGAACGTGGATGCTGGATGTGTGGATGCTGACGTGGATGCTGGATGCTGATGTGGATGCTGACGTGGATGCTGAACGTGGATGCTGGATGCTGACGTGGATGCTGACAGTGGATGCGTGGATGCATGCTGGAGTGGATGCTGACTGGATGCTGAATGTGGATGCTGACGTGATGCTGATTGGATGCCTGATGGAGCTGATGTGGATGCTGTGGATGCTGACAGTGGATGCTGACGTGGATGCTGATGTGGATGCTGACAGTGGAATGCTGATTGTGGATGCTGACGTGGATGCTGATGTGGATGCTGACGTGGATGCTGAATGTGGATGCTGATGCTGACGTGGATGCTGATGACGTGGAATGCTGATGTGGATGCTGAATGATGATGGATGCTGTGGATGTGCGGATGCTGATGTGGAATGCTGACGTGGATGCTGATGTGGATGCTGATGCTGATGTGGATGCTGACGTGGAATGCTGATGTGGGAATGCTGACGTGGATGCCTGATGGATGCTGATGTGGATGCTGACGTGGATGCTGACGTGGATGCTGATGCTGATGGGTGGATGTGGGATGCTGACGTGGATGCTGATGTGGATGCTGAACGTGGATGCTGTGTGGATGCTGAAGTGGATGCTGATGTGGAATGCGATGCTGACGTGGATGCTGAATGTGGATGCTGACGTGGATGCTGATGTGGAATGCTGACTGGATGCTGACGTGGATGCTGACGTTGTGGTATGCTTGACGTGGATGCTGACGTGGAAATGCTGATGTGGAATGCTGGATGCTGTGGATGCTGATGTGGATGCTGACGTGGATGCTGACGTGGATGCTGATGTGGATGCTGACGTGGATGCTGATGTGGATGCTGACGTGGATGCTGATGTGGATGCTGACGAATGCTGAGTGGATGCTGATGTGGATGCTGACGTGGATGCTGATGCTGATGCTGAATGTGGATGCTGATGGTGGATGCTGACGTGGATGCTGATGTGGATGCTGACGTGGATGCTGACGTGGATGCTGATGTGGATGCTGACTGATGCTGCGTGGATGCTGTAGATGCTGGATTGGATGCTGAATGGATGCTGATGTGATTGCTGACGTGGATGCTGATGAGTGGAATGCGTGGATGCTGATGTGGTGCTGAGTGGATGCTGATGTGCTGAATGCTGACGTGGATGCTGATGTGGATGCTGACGTGGATGCTGAGTGATTGCTGTGGATGCTGACGTGGATGCTGATGTGGATGCTGACGTGGATGCTGATGTGGATGCTGACGTGGATGCTGATGTGGATGCTGACGTGGATGCGTGGATGTGTGGATGCTGATGTGGATGCTGACGTGGATGCTGATGTGGATCTGACTGTGGAAATGCTGATATGTGGATGCTGATGTGGATGCTGAAAATGTGGATGCTGACGTGGATGCTGATGTGGATGCTGACGTGGAATGTGCTGATGTGGATGCTTGACGTGGATGCTGATTGTGGATGCGTGGATGTGTGGATGCTGATGTGGATGCTGACTGGACGTGGATGCTGATGTGGATGCTGACGTGGAGCTGATGGCTGATGTGGATGCTGACGTGGATGCTGATGTGGAATGCTGACGTGGATGCTGATGCTGATGTGGATGCTGATGTGGATGCTGACGTGGGGAGGCTGATGTGGATGNCTTCTCTCTCTCTCTCCGCTCTCTCTCTCTCTCTCCCCTCTCTCTCTCTCTCTTCTCCTCTCCTCTCTCTCTCCTTCTCTCTCTCTCTCTCTCTCTCTCTCTCTCTCTCTCTCTCTCTCTCTCTCAATCTCCTCTCTCTCCTCTCGCCTCTCTCTCCGCTCTCCTCTCTCTCTCGCTCTCTTCTCTCTCTCTCTCGCTCTCCTCTCTCTCGCGCTCTCTCTCTCTCTCTCGCTCTCTCTCTTCGCTCTCTCTGTTTGTCTCAAACAGAAAATAGTTCACACTATACTGCCGACAGTATATAGTAGAATAGCGTCAGATACACTCGTTCATTATTTTTTCATTCGTTCATTATTCACTCTCCTTCACACCTCATTCAGAGAATCCTTTTAGGACAAGAATTGATGAGAATAATTATGTCGATAAAGAAGGAGTTTCTCTTTCTACCTTTCGCCCCCCCCTTCCCCTTTCCTTTTCTTCCCCTCTCCCGTTTAAGGGGAAGAGGAGGGGAGTACAAGGGCAGGTTTGGGCTAAAGGTAGGATGAGGAGTGAATTAAGGAAGATTTGGGAGGGAGTAAGTGAGTGTGTGTGTGTGTGTGTGTGGTGTGTGTGTGTGTGTGTGTGTGTGTGTGTGTGTGTGTGTGTGTGTGTGTCTGTGTGTGTCTGTGTGTCTGTGTGCCTGTGTCTGTGTGTCTGTCTGTCTGTCTGTGTGTGTGTCTGTGTGTGTGTGTCTGTGTGTATGTGTGCGTGTGTGTGTCTGCGTGTGTGTGTGCAATCAACAGACAGAAAAAGAGAAAGGTAGAGGGAGAGGGAATGGGAAGGAAAAGGAAGAGGGTGAAAGAGAGAGAGAAATACCTATTTTATTTGCGGAATTTCCACAGGTCCCGCTTGGTATTATCAATGTTATTATATTATGATTGCATCATTGTCTTCATTGATATTATCATTATTATTATCATTATCATTTATATCATTCTTACTATTATTATCATTATAATTATCATTATCATTATTATCATTATTATCATTATTATCATTATTATCATTATTATCATTATTATCATTATTATCATTATTATCATTATCATTATTATCATTATTATCATTATTATCATTATTTTCATTATCATCATTATCATCCTCATTATCATTACTTTCATTATGATCACCTTCCATCTTCAGTCCTCCATTATTTCCACCAAGGAAATTCCTCTTACCAGCCCCTGAAACCTATAAATGTTCCTCTTCATTAAAAACATCACAATTAACATCACTAATTAACCACACCTTCTGCCGGAGAGAAGGCCATTGTCATCACTCATTTCCATCGACATCATTGGTCTGCTCGACGGTCGAAAATCCTCTTTGGCTGAAGGTGCTGGTGTCCCTTATGGTCCCTTGCTGGAAAGGAAACGCAGCGATAGGTGAATTGGGTTCAGGTGCGGTTTGTTTGTTTGTGCTCGAGGCTGTTTGTGCTTTATTTGTATATTATATATATAATCATATGTATGTATATATGTATATATGTAATATATACATACACACACACACATGTATACATATGTATGTATGTATATGAGTATATACATGTGAGTGTCTGTGTGTGTGTGTGTGTGTGTGTGTGTGTGTGTGTGTTGTGTGTGTGTGTGTTGTGTGTGAGTGTGTGTGTGTTGTTGTGTGTGTGTGTTGTGTGTGTGGTGTGTGTGGTGTGTGTGTGTGTGTGAGTGAGTGAGTGTGTGTGTGTGTGTGTGTGTGTGTGTGTGTGTGTGTGTGTGTGAGTTTGTGTGTGTGTGTGTTGTTTGTGTGTGTGTGTGTGTGTGTGTGTGCGTGTGTGTGTGTGTGGTGTGTTTGTGTGTGAGTGGTGGTGTGTGTGTGTGTGTGTGTGTGTGTGTGTGTGTGTGTGTGTGTGTGGTGAGTGAGTGTGTGTGTGTGTGTAATCAACACGAGATAATGTAGGAATCTGCACTTAAAGTAAGCTGAAAAAACAAGTAAAACTCCCAGGCAGGGATAAAATAAAATCATCAGATCGAACAAATTATAAATAAAAGAGAAGAATGAGGACGAACGCA